GGCTCTCCGTCCCTCGGAGCCCGCTCAGCGGCCGCAGCGGGACCCAGGCGGGGACAAGGGGACAATCCCCAGGGCACTGTGGGGCCGAAACAACCCGGGGACGAGACTGCCTGTCTCGGGCCAAACTTGGAAGAGGAAGGGCCAAAACGGAGGGAGCGTGAAGACGGTCACCAGCCAAGGGCCTGTGGATCCCCCGCACCACAGAGGGTGACAATAAAGGGGCTCGGTCTCCACCGGCCTTTAGGCTCTCACCAGTATTACGCTTAGCCACATCTACCAACAGGCTGCCTGGCATACAGAGAGAGGAGGAAGCTAAGTAAAAAGTGATGCTTGCCAGCTCTGTGTATCCTCCACCACCGGTGTGCTAGAAGAAATCCTTACCCTCGAGTGAACATTTGGAAATTTAGTGATATTATTCTTCTTTAGGGCTAAACAGAAGAAAAAACAAAACAAAACAAAACAAAAACACAAAATGATGGTTAAGTAAAAAATGGGATGGAAAATGAAGAGCAAGTCAACTCAGCGTTCAAAACTCCCAGGCAAGTTAGCCAAGAGAGCGAGAGGGGTAAGGCCGAGGCGACGAGAGGAGGTTAGACGGAGGACAGGAAAAGACAGGAGGGCCCCCCTCGCCTCTCGCTAACCAAATTCCAAGCTGCTTTGAAGATTGGCTCCAGGAAGATAATACAGCAATTAACTCGAAAGAGCAAATAACCGTTGAGCTGATTACAGTTCGCAATTTTATTAGAAGCAGTCATCAAAAATACATATCGCATAAGTGAAACACTGTTGTCTTCTTAAGCCGCCGGGTCCTTAATTCAAGACAACAGTGTTAACAGACATGCTGGGTTAAGCACACCCTTCTCACACTTTACACCACACGATGTAAACCGCTCAGTTCCATGTCAAGCTTTCCATCGTCGCAATTTCTGCGGTTCTGGTGCGTAGCTAAGTGTGTCCCCAGCTCCGCTCCTTCCCTCTCCCCCCCGGTTCGGGCACTGGTGCCGCCGCCGAGCCCAACCCCGGCACCGCACAAAGTCCAAGTGACTTGGAACTGGTTAGTGCTCAGTAAACCGCTCTGATTTCATTTAGACAGAGTTGGCATGGAACTGAAAAAAGTTAAAGATGGATGTGACCGAATGAGAAGAGAGTTTATGCCGTTCATTTCAACCCGTATTTCACATGCAGACAAAACATGCAGGTGCTGGTTAAAAAGTCAAAAAGAGAAGGCTCCTCGCAGAGGACGTAGGTTATTACAGACAACCCTTCCAAGCCAGAAAGCAAACCCCAAGAAAGTCCCCCCTAGGTCATGCAGCCCGTAATTTTGCTTTGGCATACAGCTGATGTGTCACATGCATTTTACCCAGGCAGGCTGGCATACAGGGAAGGAGCTGCAGGCCAGAAGAGATGCCATAGAAAAGCCACGGGAACTGTCACTTTTTGACTGCCTTTGATCTCCTAAGTCTTGCGAACCGGAGAAAACCTGCACCAAATCTGCCGTGACTTCCACCGCTTGCTGTTCTATGGCATGTGTCAGGAGGGCGAGGGATGCCTTTGAAACGCAAGGATGGCCAAAAGCATCCAGGGCAAAGTCGATGGGATGGAATCAAAAGTTACTGAAACACGAGACCATGCAACAGAGGTGACATAAATACAACTTCAGGTGGACGCTGGACATGACTAGACACTCAACATTCACGTGATCCTGGCTGAGAGCCGTACAAATGGAGAAGTGTCAAAAATCTACAGCAACCTTTCTTTTTTCTAAGAGCATCAGATGTGAAAGAGGAATAGTTTAGTAATGGAATTCCTCAGTGAGAACAGGTTCGCAGAAAAACCGAGAGCCCCGCTTGGCGGTTCGAGCGGTAAAGGGCACGGTCTTCAGCACTGCATGGGAATAACAGCCAAACAGACAAACAGAGCCGTGAGAAGCGGATCGATCGCATTAGTACAGTGTTAGCGCTCGGTTACGGACACCCAGGGACGGTTTCACGTGTTCCAACCAGCTGTCTTAACAGCCCTGCACTTCCGCAGGCTTTGGCAACAAGGCAGCTCCAAGTCTTTGAGTAAGTATTTCTTACATTACATCATTTTCAATGGGTTTGAGAGACTATTGCTAAACGTGCTCCAGAGAAGGGTGTGTTATTAGACAGCGCTCTGCTCCGGACCAGCAGAGCTTTCCTGTGCATCTGATGAAGCACTATCCAATTTAAAATGACACTTTCCATCATTTCCCTACCATTGACAGAGATCTCACGGGCCGTATTTAAGTGACCTCGGTCCTACCTGACTTTCTGCGCCTACCCTTTGTTATTACATAGCTTGAGGCGCTCAGAGACACCCCCATAATGGGAAAAACTAGGCACAGGATCATAGGAAATGTTTCACTGGAGTCTGGCACTCCCTCCACCGGACTGCCTTTTGCATGTGGATGCTCTTCTGCCACACAATCGGTTTCTCCCACAGAGCAGGAGAACCATTTCACCAACTAAACAAGCTTCCAGGAGTCTGAAGGAGTCGTAGAAGCAGTAACAGATTAGATATTACAGCGACTCTGCCCTTTGAAATAAAGAATGTTACCTTAGGAAGCTATTAATCAAGGTTAAAGAGAGTTGTGAAAGCTTCAAGCATTTCAGCCCCTGTCATCTAGTTGGGCAAAAATTCCCTTGCTTTCCTTAGTGAGCAGTTAAACAGCTCTCCTGCCTTCCCGCAGGAAAAACTCAGGTGAAAAACATTCAGGAGCAGTAGCCAAGGAAATCCTGCCCAAAGACCTTTTTCTGAGCTTCTGTGCAATGGAAACAAATCACTGTAAAGCTATCAAAGTGTTAAAATCGTCTTCCTTCCACACCACAGGTGAAGAACGTGCAGTAAAATCCAAGTACTGCAATCAGAGCAGCTGTATAGGCTAAAAATTATTTGACTCCTGAGCAAAATGCCGTTTAGAAGGCGGCTCTTTTTATCAGCAAATATTTGCACCAAAGTCCTGACCGTGTTTGGCTCCGACAGCAGGTTCTGTGCCTCCCCCTCTAGCCCTAGGTCGGGATCAGCGCACACTTTGCCTACCAATCTGAGAAGCAGTAACACCAGAAGCAGTTGAGGGTCATAAATCATTCAGATTTGGCTAAATGATTTGCTGTAACTGTGCAATAATGTGGTGCAATTACTGTTAGTACATTTTAATGAAAATATAGCCTCTTAATAATGTTAAACATCAGTCATTCATTCCATTTATGGGGAAAAAAAGGTTTCTGGGAAAGATCTGCATGGCATGCATATTCCCACCGGAGCATCTGCTGAGGTCAGGCACTGAGCCGGCTACTCTAAAGATCAGAGAACGATTACGTCCCCACATGCTGAAAGAGAAGAACTAAGAAACTGAGCGGGTGTCCAGGGTCTGCGCATGCAGCGCTGGCCGCAGACGCGTAAGGGTGGGTTACTGGGGTCTGTCTGTTATAGACCATCAGCAAAAGTTTCTATACTTGATTCACATCATATCAACAGTGTCCTAAGCTGTGCTCGAGTAATGCTTGTTTATGAAGTACCCAAAGCACCTACGATAGCTACTGGGCAGGTACGCATTTCTATCCTTTGTGAAAGGGCCTCTGAGATTACGAACAGAAGGCGCTTACCTGTTATAATATCTTCAATAGCACCATCCTTCCCTTCGTACACATGCCTGTTATCCTTGACTTGCCGCCGTCTGAGCTCTGCAATCAGCTCTTGCTGCTGTCTCTTTGTTTTATGTGAAGGAGACTGAAAGCAAAGAAGAGAGGATTTGTAAGGACTGACCCCCAGCTATCCCGTTTCTCTCTTCCTGAACGTGAAACACCAGGTGATCCCACCGGTAGCATCCAGCAAACACGAACTGCTAGTTTTCTGCCCAATTTTGCAAGACCGGGAAAACACACGTGTGCAGTTAGCTCACGTCCCATGGAGAGGACGGGCAGAGTCACAACTGAACCTGGCTGCCAAGCTGCTTTTCTTTCTTACGTTTGTAATCTGCTTCCAAGCCTTCTCATCGCTTGGAACTGGCGCTCCAAGCTCTTACCTCTGAAAAGCATTAGGGGAAGAAGGAGAACAGGCTTTCCTTCGAGGGAGAAAGCTTGGCTGGGATGAAAGATCCCAACACCAGCTGCAGGAAGCAGCACCAGCTGACAAAGTGGCTTTTTACAGCCATGGGAACCTTCCCCCAGCAAATCTGAAGTGTTACATCAGAAAAAAATAAAAAACACGTCAGGGAAATACCTATAAAACAGTAACATGGGGCTCGGTCCCGCTGCCATGCTCCGAGAGGGAAGGATCTGGGGAGGATCGTTCCTTGTCCCTGTAAGCGCCGGGAAGCTCTGCACACTGAACACCGGCAGGGTTTTAACAGATGCAAGGCCAGAGGAGAACAAAGTTTAGCTAATGGCAACGCGGAGGAGATGACTTTCTGTCTATTCGGTTTTTCTTGATTTTGTGGACTTCAAAAGCAGCGGAACCGTACACCAGAACTCTTTCAGCTTGTTTCAGTTCTCTCCACGTAAGGAGAAAACATCCACACACTCTATTTCTAGGCAACTGTAAGTTGGGTAACTAAATTTCTTGAGGTTTCTGAACTATCAGGAAAAACACACAAACATGATGGCTCCTGCCTGCAAGACATATCTGTTTCATACCTTTTGGTCCTGTTGCTCCATCAGTGCTTCTTGCTCCATAAGTTTTTCCATTAAGGCCTGCTCTTGCTTTTTTCTCAACTCATTCTCTTCTTCTGCTTGCTATTTATCACAAAAAACACAGGTTATAGCTTCCAACTGCTATAGGGAACCTAAGTATTACAAATGAGTAACGCTATCACTTGCTACCACGGGGCTTTCCAAGGAAGCAAGACTAGGTGTTGCGATTTAGCTGCCTCTGAACGCAGTCTGAAAAAACTGGGCTGGGAGAGACCTTCCTAGGTCGCACAAACCATCCTCTCCCAGTCCCACAAGACACGTATTCAGGGTTAAAGGTGTAAGCTGCAGCCACCCAGACATTCAATTTCTGAGGGTTCCTCCAGCCTCTCAGACAGCCGTGTTGTCTTTGAGCCCTGAAAATCATCCCCAAACCGCTGTTTGTGCTGCCCCGGGCTGCTGTTGCCGTGCTGTCGGGGACAGCTCGCTTTGCGTGGGAGCTAGAGGGAGCACCAGCTCTTACTGGGAGCCCCAAGCCACGCGGGTACCCAACTGGGCTCTGAAGGACAGAAGAGAAGAGGAGAGTGCGCCCGTTTACCTTGTAGGCCTTCACAAACCGGACAAACACTGGGAAAAAGACTGAGGGGGGTGTCGTCTTGGGATTCTCCCCAAAGTACTTCACAGCATCATCAAAGGCATCCTACAAAAAGCACAGATTTAGTGCACTGAACATATTTCAGGATAAACTCCCCCTCCGTTGCAGCAGTATTCCGTGTAAAGGGTCTACATTTTGTCTGGATGTGAAACCCTTGGCTCAGACCAGCACCTACACCTAGCACTTGAACGCAGGAACAAACGCACAACATTGCTGCTCCTTCTCCTCCCTGCTGTGTATATAAAGCACGTCCTTTGCAGTGACATGCTACTACTCCCTGTGTCACTCACACCCTCTCGCCAAACCCCAAGAATAAAGAAATACCTGGGCTATTTTGGCATCGTCCTGCAGTTTCTTTAGCTTCCCTTCGTTGTTCTGAATGAACTCCTTCAGCATCGTGTTGTGGTCATGCATGGTGTACTCACGCTTCGTCAGATCCAAGCCCCTCTGCAGCTCCTTCACGTCCAAGAGAACATTTTCAAGAGAGACTAGGGAATAAAACAAAAATCTTGCATCGCTCCTGCTGTGTAAGTGCCTGAACCCACAGCCTGGACAATTCCCCACCGAGAACAGCCCCCACAGCCCACGCACGGTGTGCCGTGAAGTGCCTCGCACGGCACGCATGCCACCACCGCTCACCAGGCACAGGAGGGTCACGGTACCTGCGGCAGCCTTCTCCACGTAATGAAGTTCGTTGTAAAAGAGGGATACGTGCTGGTACTTCTCCTTGACCACGTTAGAAATATAGTGCAGCAGAGTCTGCTTTCGGTCGGTTGACTTTGTTTCTAGGAGCTGGGGAGAAAAGGCAAAGAGATTGCTGGGTGGAGGCGCAGCAGGCTCCAAGCAAAGTGACTCAACCAGTGCTTCTCCCTCTGATAGGGATGGCTGTAAAAGCTCATTTCATTCTTTAGCAGGTGGTTTTCAAGCTGTGGTCTGCAGAGCCTCTGAAGACACCTGTCTTCTCCTAAGCAGCCCCCCAAAACATTGACAAGCAAAGCAAACTCATGTCGCCTGGTAGGGAATGCCTTCCCCGCTGCCGCTCTCTGCCTTCACCGGTGGAAAGTACCGACCGAGTCCCCCAGCAGCCACTCGCCGTGTACACAAAATGCACGCCCACCTGGTCCCCACAAGGCACCTCTGGTTTACTTACCAGGTCTAAACTCTGCAGCTTAAATCCATACACAGCTCCTCGTTTACTGCTGTTCATGTAGTTTCCAAGAGCCAAGATTATCTGCCAGGATGAAACATAGCAGAGCACGAATTTTCAGGACAAATACACAGCGCTTTAGAAACCTCTGGCAGGAGAGCTGGTGCGTCAGCATCCATGCACAGTTTCAGGATAGGTAAGGGGACGCACTGGTGAGTGATGGAGCTATTGAACGTATCTAAAATCAGACCTACCTCCAGTATTTTCTTAAGCTTTTGGGATGACTTTATTGAGACAGATGCGGCTATTATTGCGTGAAGTTGCTGCACGTAAACACAGGAAGAGCTTTGGTTAATGCATGTCCAACCCAAGAGTAAAATTAAAATCTAAATACATTCTGAAAAAAAAGGTCTTTGTTTTTCATCCGTACCGTGAACCCTAGGACGAATGGCATCCTGCCCTGACACATCAGGATTTCAAACAACTCGTCTGCATCACAGATTTACCACACTCAGGTGTGGCTGGGTCAAAGTGTATTTACATGTCAATCCTTAAGATGGATCAGGCTGAATGGGACACACTTCAAAGAGCCCACAGACCAGCACTGATTATTAACTTTCCCTGATGATACAAACAACTAGACTTCCCTTTAAATGGGTTTTAAACTTCTACAGGGTAAAGAACTAGGACAGTATGGAACAGTCCAGGGTACAAACAGCACCTGGGGTATTGAAGTCGTTGATATATGAAAATATAGCTTGAAAACCACTTTTTCATTAGTGTAATTGTTTCTTGTTCTGTCTCCATGAGAACTGACAATCACTCCACAACCCTCAAACCATCTCTCTGTCCTAGAAAAATTAAAATCTCTGTAACCTTCACCAACTGGCCCACACCTTCGCATGACTGCAATGCTCCCGGCAACCTGACCTGTGCCGCAGAGCGCAGCTCCCGCGGGGAGCCCGAAGCCCCGGGAAGCCCTGATCCCCGCACAGCCCCACGCATCGTCCCGGCGTCCCCAGGGGCTGCCCCTCACTCACCGGGGTCAGCATCTGGATGCTTTCTGCAAAGTTGCCTATAAACGCCATGATGGTCATCTTCTGCATCAGCCTCTCAATCTTGCTGAACTGCATCATGAACCGGTCTTCGTCGGACAGGTTCTCGATGGGTTTCCTCTCCCGCTCGTAGAGCCGCAGAACTTTCACTTCGTTTTCGGTGGGCAGGAATCGCATGAGGCATTCAACAAAATCCACTGGCAACGTTTTTAGGTCAAACCTGTGTGATAACAAACCAAAAGAAGCAATGTTACAACAAGGTTCTACACAAAATGATGGAAAAGTAGAAGTGAGAAAGCTGCCAAAGGCAGCTCAGCTTCCTACGCTGCTCAGTTACACGTGAGCGTGAGTGAGTAAAGCAACGAGAAACTATGAAGGTATGAAGTTACCCCGGCTCTTGTTGTCCAGGCTGGGGTGGGGGCACAGTCCTGCACGTGAAGCTCAGTGCACAAGATGTGAGCAAGGCTACCGTGCTGACGTGAATGCTGCTGCCGGGCAGCCTGTTTCTGTTTCCAAAGACGTGGTTGTTGCCCCCAACCCTTCCATGGCCACACCTCATTTTCATCAGAGGAGACAGGCGGGGGGGAGCAAATGGCCGTTTTATTTAATTGGGCCAGAGCCCTGTAAAGCCCAACTGTTGAATCCGCCTCAGTCTGCAGCAGGTTTGGGTTGCCCTCCTCACCAGCCCAAAGGTAATGCTTGCACACCCAAATTTTTGAAGATGCTCCTTAACGGAGAAATCATAGAATCATAGACTCATTATGGTTGGAAGAGACCTCAAAGATCATCAAGTCCAACCGTATACCCGATGCCACCATGCCCGCTAAACCCACAAATGGCAGATGTTTGCTGTGGCCACGAGTCCTAAGTGCTTCTGGGTGTATTTGGGATGAGCCCCAAGGAGCGGGTACACCTGCGCTCCATCCCTGGGAGCTGCCGGAGGCGGCAGGCGAGGGTCCCGACCAGCTCGGGGCTGAGATACCAGGGATCTGCCGCCTGCATCGCAGTGGGGGTTGGCACTGCCTGGGGCCATGACATAAACCTAATTCTATGCAAAATCCTTCCAGTGCACTTGGACTAAAGTCGTGCTTTATGGAGCAAACTAAAATAATTGCCTCTTCCCGATACTCTGGCTTTGGAGTGTTCGTTATAACAGAAAGTACTATGCAAACAGAATGAGAGATGCAGTATGCAATGGCATACTGTGGATACACATGAATTAGCTTCTTTAATAAAAGAAGTATTCATTTCTGAAGCCTAAATAGTGATACAGTGACATAAAACTGCAAGTTTTTTATTTTAGTTCAAGGGAATCTGATTTCTGAGAATTCAGAACGGTTCCATCCTTACTCCTGGATTTTCTCCAGATGCAAAAACATTTACGTCAACTGCCAATTCAAAACCATTCCACTTACCAAAAATCACAGTACATCTTAAACATGATTTCTTTGCTGACAAGTGTTTTACTCACACGTGAATAGCTTTGCATATTTCATCTGCCGTCTTTCCAGCTTTTCGTAAAGTAATGGCAAGGTTTTTGGCCCTGTTGGCATCCAGTAACGTGACTTTGTTTGACCCTTTCTGAGTTATCTTTTGCTTGCTTGAAGTAAGATCAATGGCTGGACCTTGAGCTTTTGTTTTGAATATTTCTTCAAATTCATCCACATTTAAATCCTAAAAAGGAAAGAAAACGATTTATCCCTCCCGCAGCAAACACTAAAACCCACGCTGCCTAACGCTGATCCAGAACTGCAGTGCAAACCCTGCCACGCTGCGACCCCAGCAGAGCACTTCGGTCAGGGGCTGCAGGACGTAACCAACATCGCTCCCGAGTACGCCGTGATCAGGAGATCTGGCCTCCAACCCCAGAGCCCCGTACACGTTCAAAAGTTTAGGAAAACATTCATCTTGGCACTCGTGCTTTATCCAGACTTGTGCATCTTCAGGGCGCAGGGAGCACGCCACGCCCTGCGTGCTCAGCTCCGCTCTGCGCTGCTTTAGGCTTCGCTCCCCGGCATCCAGCCCCCACCCAAGCCTAACTCCTACAGACCGGAGCAGCAATTTTAGACTGGGAAAAATGCATCTTCCTCATCTTGGTTGATCTCTTTTAAATAAACGCACACAACAGGTATACATACCTTTTATAATCAGTACTACCAGTTACCATCCCTAATTCTCAACCAAGGCACTCACACTGACCTACTGGGTACCAGGGGCCACAGGATGAGCTATTTGCCAAAATAATTGCTGCGGTCCATCCCTGCTAAGACCGCTATTTACTTGTGTTATGGACAGAAGGTAGCAAGTGGTACTCATACCTCCAGGATCCTTTCGTCATCTATTTCGTTGAAGACCGTCCCATTGATCTGGTTGGGTTTGAGGGCGACCCAGTTGAACACCGGCATGCGGAACTTGGTCTTGATCGGCTTCTTGATTTTCACAGCTAAAGACACCAGAGGAGAGGAAATGACAAATTCCCCAGCTGCTGAAAAACACCTCGCACGCCCAGACTGCACCTTTCGAGTCGGCATTTCAGCACTGGAGGAAGAACTGGCCAGAGCTAAATTGTCACACTGGAAAGCCTGGAAAGATTCTTGCTGCCTCGACAGGCAAACAGCTGTTTCAGGCCCAACTTCTGCAGACCTGGACTAAACGCCAGAGGCTGCGAAGACTTCGCTAAAGGAAATGTGTTATTACTTTATTACTGCACAATGTATGGATTGATTTAAAAGCCCAGGCTATTTTTAAAAAGCTACAGAAAATGGGGAGAGCGGTCGAATTGAACCCTGTCGTGCTGGCTGCAGAGCCCATCCCTGTGTGAGCTGACACACAGCTGGTCTGTGTCACAAAACTCCATGCAGAATAGGTGACAAGAAGGAAAAAACGCCCTTTCCCAAGGTTTTGGGATAGGGAGCGGCCCCTCCCGCTGCCTGCTGCAGCGGGGCACTGCTGCTTCTCACCACGTTTGTCTCTGAAAGCAAAAGGGGGGGTTACAGGAGCTGTAACCCAGCTGCAATAACAGGTTTAATCTTCCTGCGCCGTGCAGAACCGGCAAATGATCTAGCAACTTACACAGAGAAGCTAGGAAAGTGAAGACTGACTTACTCTCATTAATCTGTGAATAGAGTACAAAAAAGCAATACTGGCGCAAGGAAAACACCACTTTTCTATCCCTATCCCCAACGGGTCCGGAAGGTACATGCAGGATTTCTGTCATTCCGTTCTCATTTCTCTGTACCTTGATGTAAACATGAAGCTGTCAGCTGCTACGAAGTCAGGGTGTTCATTAAAGCAATCAGTCAAGGTTTTGCTCCTGAATTACTCAGAAAAGAAACCGTTTCTTTCCAAGCTGCAAACATGCAACAGAAACCCTGGTCCTTCCTCTCCAGTGCTGGACGAGCGAGCCCCTCGGCCGGCCGCGAGGCTC